ATATCTACAACTTACAGTTGATCCCTAGTTCTAGACACTGATGTTATATATATTTACAACTTACAGTTGATCCCTAGTTCTAGACACTGATGTTATATATATTTACAACTTACAGTTGATCATTAGTTCTAGACACTGATGTTATATATATATCTACAACTTACAGTTGATCATTAGTTCTAGACACTGATGTTATATATATCTACAACTTACAGTTGATCCCTAGTTCTAGACACTGATGTTATATATATATATATATCTACAACTTACAGTTGATCCCTAGTTCTAGACACTGATGATATATATATCTACAACTTACAGTTGATCATTAGTTCTAGACACTGATGTTATATATATTTACAACTTACAGTTGATCCCTAGTTCTAGACACTGATGTTATATATATTATCTACAACTTACAGTTGATCCCTAGTTATAGACACTGATGTTATATATATCTACAACTTACAGTTGATCCCTAGTTATAGACACTGATGTTATATATATACATACAACTTACAGTTGATCCCTAGTTCTAGACACTGATGTTATATATATCTACAACTTACAGTTGATCCCTAGTTATAGACACTGATGTTATATATATCTACAACTTACAGTTGATCCCTAGTTATAGACACTGATCTTAACTTACACTTGATCCCTTTGCCCCAGATTGAGCCATCAACTGAAGGTTGTTGTCTGGAAATTTCCTGATTAATCCATCTGGTAAGCAGACTCTATTAGAAGTAAAGAAAAAACCGTTTTGGTGACAATTATCTATGAAACATTCTAACCACAACACAAGAAGCTATTAACAAGTAAAGTAATTACTGATCGAAACATATTTTCTGATAATAATACAAAATACATTAAATTTATAAGAGAAAAAAGGAAAAAAGACCTATAAAAAAATAATAATAACTGCATGTATAATACTGATACAACTTTAACGAAAATTTCAGAAAACTACTTTAAAAGAGATACATGATTTCACAAGATTAAAATTTGATAACTACAAAGACATAATTTGTTGACTTGAGTGTTGATTCGATTATTCACAAAGTTACTGCCATAATGGATAAGTAACTATAGGAAACAAGAAATACAAATAGAACACAATGATTATTCATATATTAAACCAAAAATAGTAATTAGAATATACATAATTGGATGTTATTATTTTAAATAATTTGGTACTCAAAACAGAATTACTTCGTTGACATGGTTCAAGTTTTTTTTTGCCAAAAGGAATATAAACTTTCACCAGAGGGAGTTAACAAGTTCAATACAAATAAATCAGTAAACACAGGCTTGATAAATTGTTAAAACTTTATATTCTTTACATTTGCTAGTCACAGATACTCTATACAGAAGACCAATCATTAGTCTTAGGACTGACTCTCTCTTTTGTGATAGCGAGATGGGTCTTAATGCATAGAAATTTGTACCCCCCATACACTTATACAATAAGTCATTTGACTATAAAAGATGGCGTAATAAATTTGATAAAGTGTTCAGTGTTGATTTGGCATTTCCATAGTAGCTGAGGTCAACAAGAGTCGAGAGAACGCACATACATAACAATATCAATTTAAGGCTCAAACTGAAACAAAACCTAATGCTTACTTATTGATTTTATTGTTGAAAGAATCAGTTCTTTGTTTCATGACATTGTCCAATTGCTTCATTCCTCTGTCATCTTTACTTCGGTGAGCCTCCTGCAGCTTATCTAACAACTCTTCTTGATTGTCTGGGTCGGTGACGCCCAAAGCTTCAGCGGCTGCTTCATTCCCAACAGTCTTGGCACTTCTCATTATCCTCCACCGTTTCTTATTGGCCTTAATTAAATATGCATTACACTTCTCATGACTCTATAACTAACACCTTATTACAAACACAAAAATTTGAATTGTTCAACTTTAATGAAATTAAAAAATGATGTTCATTTTCATGGTATATACCTGTAGTTCCCAATCTTTGTCCAACTGATGACCAGCTAGATCCTAGCCCAAAAGTTCAGGGGCCACTTTGTATAATATTAACTTTTTAATGCACTTTTACGTTACATTGTAAAATAATATATTTCAATAGCTATATTTGAAAACATACATTTACTTAACAGTCTTGCAGACCAGCTAAAATATCCCTGTGGACTAGAAGTGGCACACGGACCAGCTGGGTTAAAAAAGCATGATTTGTTAATTGGTGATATTACATCACAACAAGACTTATTTTCATCTTTCATTACTGGATAAGATCTTTTTTAATTCCTACATAAACTTCTATAATTGTTTTCCTGTATGGTGTTTGTGGATTACAGTCTCTAATTTCTATTATACATTCAAACATTTCTCATTAAACTTGCATCTTTTTATCTTTGTTTTACAATTTCTTTTAAAAAAAATTACATTTCTTTCTTTACACAAACACACAAAATAATGAATACAACTAGTGGTTATATTCTCTAATGAAATTCATTAATCCAGTATAAATCCTAATACTTTTCCTTGTAACAGAATCCAGTTTTTTTTAGAATATATCAATAAATCCATGTTTCTCCAGATGAAAATGCCAAATTATTTGATTTTTCGGATAAAAATGTCATCTCCCACAGAGAGTCAACATTTCTTTAAACAAAATGTTCTACAGTAAGAATTGACCTTTTTAAGGAGGAGTCAACACACATTTTTAAATCCTAAAGTCCTACAGTAATTCATGTCATTTTCTCTCAAAGTCAACACTTATTTAATCCTAAAGTTCTACAGTAAATCATGTCATTTTCTCTCAACATCAACACTTATTTAACAAGAAAGTCCTACAGTAAATCATGTCATTTTCTCTCAAGATCAACACTTATTTAACAAGAAAGTCCTACAGTAAATCTTGTTTTCTCTCAGGAAGATCAACACTTATTTAACAAGAAAGTCCTACAGTAAATCCTGTTTTATCTC